CGTCCCCAGGGTGGGAGGAGCGGCCATGGGGACGCCAGCAGCCCCCCCCAGACCCCTGTCCCTTGTCGTCCCCCCCCATCCCCATAGGAACAAGTGGAGTACGTCTTCCTCATCATCTTCACGGTGGAGACGTTCCTGAAGATCATCGCCTACGGGCTGGTGCTGCACCCCAGCGCCTACATCCGCAACGGCTGGAACCTCCTGGACTTCGTCATCGTCATCGTGGGGTGAGACCCCGACCTCGGGGGGAGGGAGGGGGGCTGGATGCACACAAAGAAGTGGGGACCCCCCTCGCGACCCCCCCCTCGTTGTCCCCCTCAGGCTTTTCAGCGTCATCCTGGAGCAGGTGTCCCACAAACCCGGTGAGGCTCACCACATGAGCGGCAAACCGGGCGGCTTCGACGTCAAAGCTCTGCGCGCCTTCCGCGTCCTGCGGCCCCTCCGCCTCGTCTCTGGGGTTCCCAGTGAGCTGGGGAGGGGGGCTCTTATCTGTGCATTCACCCCCCCCCCCCAGTCCTCAAGCTTCCTGCTGACCCCTCCCGGCCTCTCCCAGGTCTCCACATCGTCCTCAACTCCATCATGAAAGCCATGGTGCCGCTGCTGCACATCGCCCTGCTGGTTCTCTTCGTCATCATCATCTACGCCATCATTGGCCTCGAGCTCTTCATCGGCCGCATGCACAAGACCTGTTTCTTCATCGGCTCTGGTGAGGGGTGACCCCCCCCCGGATATCCTGGAGGGACCCCCGTGGGGTGGCCCGGGGGCCCCCCCCCCCCCCCCCACTGGATGTCTCCTTTGTGACAATCTCCCATCTCTGGGACTCCCCAGAGCCCCTCGTTGTCTGAAATCACTTCCCAGAGGAGGGGTTCTATGGCCCCCCGCCCTCCTCCCCCCTCCCAAAATTACTCAAGACCCCCCTTCCCATATTGGCCACCTGCCCCTGTATCACGTGAGACCCCCAGCCCCTCAACTCCAGGATTCCACAACCCCCCTTCCATCACCCAGCCTCACACCACAGCTGTATGCTAGGACCCCCCCTCTCCCTAAAAGCTCTCCTAGAGCTGCCCCCAATAAGACCCCCACCCCAAACCTCCCCTTCCCCTACACAGAGGAGGCATCTCTCACCACCTCTCACGCATCCGCCCCCTTTCCACCCCCTAACCCCATTGTGGGGGTACTGACGGCCCCCCTGGACCTCCCCTCCAGACCTGGAATCGGAGGACGACCCTTCCCCCTGTGCTTTTTCGGGGCACGGCCGGGCCTGCCTGCAGAACAACACGGAGTGCAGGGGCCGCTGGGAGGGCCCCAATGGTGGCATCACCAACTTTGACAACTTCTTCTTCGCCATGCTCACCGTCTTCCAGTGCATCACCATGGAGGGGTGGACCGACGTCCTCTATTGGGTGAGCCCCACTCCCTGGGAGGGTGGAGGACACCCCAAAAATGTGCCTCCCCCCCATTGGGTGTCCAGACCACGTTGCCTTTCTGCTTTGTCGGCCCCCGTTTCCCCCTGCTATGGGGTTCCCACAAATCCCGATGCCCCAGCATCACCCAGAGCCACCACAAGGGTCACCCGGTGTTGCTCTGTGGGGCCACCCCAGAGTTCCCCCAATGTCACCCCAAATTCATCCCCAAATGTGCCATAACACCCGCTGAAATCACCCCCAAATGCTCCACACCCAGACTCACTCTGTGGGATCACCCTAAATTGACCCTAAATGCCACCCCATGCGATCACCCTGAATTCCATCCCCCTAAACTCATTCCAAATGTCACCCATGGGGTCACCCCAAATCCCACCGCCTCCAGCGTGACCCCAAATACCCCGAGACCACCCCAACACCCCCCTGTTGTGCCCCCCCCAGATGCAGGATGCCATGGGCCACGAGCTGCCCTGGATTTACTTCGTCAGCCTCGTCATCTTCGGCTCCTTCTTCGTCCTCAACTTGGTGCTGGGGGTGCTGAGCGGGTGAGCAGCCTGGTAGCGTGTCCTTAGCGTGTTCTTAGCGTGTCCTTAGCATGTGCCACACGTGCCCATCCCATCAGAGAGTTCTCCAAGGAGCGTGAGAAGGCCAAAGCACGCGGCGACTTCCAGAAGCTGCGGGAGAAGCAGCAGCTGGAGGAGGACCTGCGGGGCTACATGGACTGGATCACACAGGCCGAGGACCTGGAGGGGGACGAGGATGAGCACGAGAAGCACCGTATGTCACCCAGGGGGGGTAGATATGCATCCCCCCCCACCCCCAATTCCTTTCGCCACCTTGTCGTCCCCCTTCCCTGCAGGCCTGACCGCCGAGGAGCTGATGGGGAAGCGAAAACCTCGCCTCAAGTGGCTGCGACACCCCAGCCACTCCACCGACACCCACGGTAAGGAGACAGCGGCAAAAAACAAGGGCGCACCCCCTAAAATCGGGGGGGTGCCCCGTAGATTGGGGGCTGCCCCCCCCCGCCTTTGTGGGGCACTGATGTCGCCCTTCCCCCGACTCCACAGCCAGCCTCCCCGGCAGCGAGACGACATCAGTGAACACCGAGACGGCGGGTGAGGAGGAGGTGCAGCCCAACGCCTGCAACCGCTGCCTGTGAGCGCGACCCTGGGGTCCCCACGAGCCTCCAGACCCTCTGCAGCCCCCCCACGGTGCCTGTAGCCCCCC